CTTAAATTAAGATCACTAAAGTTGTACCTGGTACTTTAAAGGTTTTAAACAAGATATCCTGAAATATATTGAAATAATGCTTTCCATTATGTGGGCTGGTACTTCTGTACTCAAAAGAATACTCAAGTATAAGACCTGTTGTCATACATGAGCTATATTCTGTTGACATGTAAATATACAAAACAAATCATAATGTTGTGATTCTGTACCTGTACAAAAGAAGTATAATTACAGATTAATTAGAATAAGTAATATCATGCTGTTATTGTACTCTGAAAACAAATATACACATACACATTTCACTTGTATCAATTTTGTTTTGTCATTATTCACTCCATTGGTTGGCTCTTTTATCTTTAAAACCAGGGTTGGTTTGATCCCACATCATTTGTGAAACATTTAGTGCAGTGTTGCACACAGTAACATACTATAATCTGAGCAGAACCATAAATGAAAAATATCATCTTGGTTGCAGCAATAGGAATCGATCTTTAAAGATAAATCAGCTGTTAGATTCACACTCATGGGATTCAAACTTTGAATCTCAGGTATGAAAGCTTCTTTTTAGCCAGTTGAGTTATAAGGTTAGATTGGGCTGCATCAGTTCTCACTCAGGGAATAGTTAGATATAGTTAAAACAAGGAAGATCAATATTTTTAGTTTGTGTTATTGTTTGTCTCTTAATGTAATTTGTTTGGATGTTTTTACCTGAATCTGGTTCTGATCAGAACACAAAACATGTTGTCTCGTGCTTCAGGCCACTGAATTTATCAAAGATCATTTTGCCCTAACCGTAACCAAGTGCTGTGAATGCCCTGTGCTTGATGCTGTGGTTTGATGTGCAGAACCATTACGAAGATTAATCATCAATCAGCCGTCTTTGTTACAAAAGGAAATTGTATTGCAACAGCCAATGACATGCGTTCTTGTGAATGCTTTGCAGATACGTTCAACAGTCCCTTATCAACATTTGGCCACCTTAGCCAATATGTTCAGTGAAGACATTTCCTCATTATTTTCATAACAAACTTAATTCGGGCGGCATTCTCTCAAAACCAATTTGCTGTTTTCAAATTAGTGAAATAAGTATAAATCTCATTTAAAGGAGAAAAATTTGGTCGAGCCCAATTTTTGTCTGCATCAACGGGCGAAAAGTCTTTGTTTCTTGATCAATCAACCCAGTCTCACTCCAACATCGCTGAAATTTGGCGCTTGGGCAGTGACTTCCAGTGTCAGACCCAGATGAAAAAAGCACTCCTTTCACATTGGCATGATATGCAGCTGGCAGCCGTTATTGTTTAATTGTCCATGTGTTAGCAAAACGTAACCACTTGTGTTAAGTAAAAAAAAAAAGTTCATTTGTAATGTTATACTGATGTATGTGTTGATTTTGAAAGAGACTGTATGGAAACGGTTTATTTCCTGTGAAAACGGAAGTCTATTTTGAAAACAGACAATGTGTGTAACAGGCTGAAATTTGCGTCCCTGAAAACCAACAACAAACACACCCAGGGTAACTTGCATGTTAAATCTCAATGTGGGAAGTCCATGACCAAACATCGACATGTGACGAAGTCAGAGTGAGAATGTGTTGGACCGGTAGGAACCATAAATACAGACATCAGTTTGGTATACATCTGTTAAACTCTGGACTCCATGACGTCAGCAACTGGTACCACAAAGCAGGTTTGACTTACTCTGTCTCTCCTTAGGTACTTTGGCCCTTAAACAAACAAACAATGGCATTCAACATCAAGAGGTCAAAAGCTTCATATCAAATATAAAGTCTTTGTTGCTGTGGGGAGACAGAGGCTGTTACAGATGCATTCTATGACTATAATTTGTTAAATATAGCAGCTAACTTTGAATTTTCCACCTCCACTCTGAAGCAGGACACTGCACACGTACCTATTGTCAGTAGCATAATTACAAGCCTGCAGCCTAATAACCAGCTTTTTGTCATACACTACTTAGTGAGTATTTCTATAAAAAAAATAATAAACACATACTGAAATGATTAATGTGGTTGGGCTTAATAAAGCTGATATGAGAGCTTTGTCATACCAAGCTCAATAGATTCTAAAATTGAATATTTCAGAATTTTAATAACTTTTGCTACAGATACAGTTTTGATCATTATCATAAAAAAGTCTAAGTGAAATACAGAGTAATCAAACACTGCCAAGTAATGAGCTGAACATAAAAACTGAGCAGTCCTAATGAAAAGTAATGTGTGCACTCTGGTTTGCTTGTTTTACTTGATTATTATTATTAAGCCCATTTGCTTCGACATGAGTCAAACTAAACCTGTCTTCATGTTAAGAAGAGCAGTTTTTGGATGATGAAATGCAGTATATATTATACAAGTATGTTAGGGTCGATGGTTTCACAGAGAGTCAGCGAGTGTAGCTGTGAACCATCTGCCTCATGTGCGTATAAGGTGTTAAATAAATAAGAACGCACTCGGGTTACAACAGCAAGATATCAGTTTTTATCTTTCTGTTACTTTCTGACACTTTAGGTTTTCAGATCCTCTGCAGGAGATCGATCTTACCTCGTGTGCACTCTGGAGTCTGAACTAGTCGAAACAAAATTACTTTCACAATCTTGTGCTGAATTAAATACATGTTTGGCGGCTGAGTTTCATTACTGTTATATAATGAAAAGACAGTGGTGACAAACTCTTATTTTGTCAATTGAAAGCTTGAGCGCACTTAATGTTTGTTTTCATCATCAGAAGGAGATTCTTTGGACCTTGGACAGTTCACTCAATATAAGGCTTAATAATAACAACTGTCTTCCTGAGAAGCCACTTCCCATACAGATAGATGTATTTATTCACTGTCTTAAAGACTACGTGCCAGATTGCAATCACCCTGTTATTTCGGACATATAATAAAAATGTCAAGGATAAAAATACTCCAGCCTGCAGTCACTGAAAAACAAATTTAGATGCTGGAGAGAAATAAAACAAAAGTAAATGGAAATTTATTTATGCACATGAAGCTACCAATTCTGACACTGGGATATTGAAAATCCCAGAGCGTGTTCACATCTTAACAACCTTTTATTTCTTGTAGCGCCCACAGTGATGCATGAGAGTCCTCAGCAGTGGTCGTATCTTCATATTCTCACAACAACCTATGTTTGCGTTTTCCCCAGGCAGCCTTGCAAATAACCCCTTAGGTAGAAGGTCAGATTGAATGGTTACATTTGTTTAGCATGTAGTGATGGACAAACACTGTGTGAGTTAGGATGATTTAATCCAGCAGCTATCTTTACAATCAGGATGAATTTACGCCACTTGGCTGTGGTTTGATGTGCAGTTTGAGGAGGGCTGTGATTGCCCGAACAATCAACAGTCTGGTCTGGTTGTTGTCAGAAATGTTGGTCTCTCTCTCCCTACTGTCAGAATCTCTAATAAAGGCATAAAATGTCCAAAACTGAAAGTTTTGTTCAGCTGTCTTGCAGTTTGAGGACTTTCACATTTTCCCTCAAACATTCCTGCTGTCAAAAGATCTTGACATAGTATTTTACATGTTGCAGCTGCTGATCTCAAGAGTAAGACTGTGCTGTGATATTAATAAAGCCAAACTTTGATGACCATTCTGTGTGTCTGTATGTGTCTGTGTATAATATGAGTGAACTGTCTGCCCCAGCCTAATTAGAAACCACATCTCCAACCAACAGTCAATACTGATTTCTTTCTTGCACAAACTAAAATAGTGTGTAAACTATTGGTATTGAAAGGCAACCCTATTTTGGTATTGACCATGACCTAGCAGTGAGTATCAAACACTGCCAAATACCAAAGGCCGAGATCAAATGTCTCATCAGATTCCTAATTGTGTTTCTTTGATCAGAGAGTTCCTGATTTACATCAAAGTTTTACTAGTTGAAATTAGCCAAACACAGCTGCTTGTGTTTAGAGGACATGTAACATTTTAGACGTTTACCTTCTCTGGTTAAAAGAATAATAGTTTTGTAGAAAAACAGGTTGATATTTCTTAACGTAAGGCACCATATGAGAAAAGTCTAATTTCAGACTAAAGGCCCGAACATACTCGGGCGGAACGTATACGGAGTCCATTCCGCGTACGTTCCGCCCGGACCAAAAGCGGACGTCCGCAAGCCCTGTACGCACAAAGCTCAGATTTTACGACCGCGCGGACTCCGCTCCGTGCACCAGTGACTGCTCAGCATGTGTTTTTCACATCGACACGCAAGAATTGTGGGTAATGTAGTGTGTTTCACTGAAATTTTTACAGGAAACTACAACGCGGAAGTGTGCTCGACTATGGAAGCCCAAATGACTGCGGACATTCCTCGCGGAGTCTGCTCCGCTTATAGTACGCCCGAGTATGTTCGGGCCTTAAGCCAGACCTTAGAGGTGGCAACTCTCACACAGTGCTTATATGAGTAACTTTTAGAGCAGCCCTATGGGTTATTTTTATAGGCAGGTGTTTGTTTCTGCAGTGTTAAATGACAGCATATGTGCATGAGACAGTGAGGCCAAATTAAAATCGCATATTTCTTTATGTTTGAGCAGTTTGGTTGGTCAAAGTTGGTCAAAAAGGCATCAACTTAAGTTAAAACATGAACTAAGTTTGAGTTAAAAAGTTAGATTTTGAACAGTAATGTATGATTACTGAGTGTGTCTGTGTGTGTTGATGTGGCATGTTACTTATAAATGAAAATATATCAAAAAACTCACTGATGTGATAAATAGCATCAAAATCTTTAATAAACAGATTTCAAGATCTAATTTCATGGTTTCATAATTTCTAGGTTCATGGTGCTGTTTGCATCCTGCACACTGGTCCTGGATCTGTTGGTTAATTGAAACCTCAAAGCAAACAGACCATTGATAACCCGCCCTTCCTCAGCCAGGCCACTCAGCTGTCTGCACTGTACACATTCCAGTCTGATTGGCTTAGCTGTTGGCCCAAAGCCCAAAGGGTGTCTGTATAAAACTCCCCATGTGCTGAAAGCCACAGTCAGAAAGCAAGAGGGTCTCTGAGACTCATCGTGGGCTGACGGGAAGACTTAATTTACTTGCACATACTGTGACTGAAAACGCTGGAAAATGTGTAAAGGATTAGCTGCATTACCCCAAACATGCCTCGAAAGGTGAGACCTGTCATCATCATCACTTTACCTTTCCTGTCACATCTAAATGATGTTTTCCTCTGATGTGGTTTGGACACCAAAAAATAATCTTGAATATATATTTAAAACTCTTTAAAGTGATTCTTATCATACTAAAGATGAAAGCTGTAAATCAATGTTGCTGTCAGTCTCAGGTCAACAGTTTCCATCTCAAAGAACTTTAAGGCTTAAGGTTCATCTCCGTCAAGTTTTTACTTTCTGACAGATGTGTTGACCTGGAGAACAGTTTCATGTGTCATCAGGTTTGGGTTTTTGTTTTTGTTTTTTTTTTTAATGCTAACTTTAATGTTTTTTGCTTTTATTTTTTTACAATGGCTTATGCAGATTGTTCAAGAGTGTGTGAGCGACACCCTCTAAACCTGTAGGGTTGAAGAAAAAACATACCAAGGTTTCCCATGGTCTAACTCTAACTGCAGTGAATAAAACATCTTTCACCACTGGGTCAACACTGGTTTCAAAGTGTGACACTGTTCGGATTTTGATGTTTGATTTTTTTGTTTTTTCATAATATGTCGATTAACTTTATAACTGAATAAATTGTTTTGCAAATTTTAGGTATACATGTGCATCAGAAAAGAAGGTCTAATTAGATTTTTTTTTTTTAAATGTATTTCACAGTAAAAATCTGTAAATCTTAAAACAACATATGCATTTTTTGTTTGAAGATAAGATATACTTTCTAGCTTTTTCTACTACTACTTTTTCTAAACCGTAACTGCTATTTTTCCCCTCATTCGTATTCGTAATTCATATAAACATGAACTCAACCTTTTCACAACAAGTTAAGTTCTAAATTTGATGAATCATTGAACCAACATGCTCATAGATTTTATCTTAGTGTCTTGCATAAATACAGTTACACCAGAGTCATGTTGGTGAGAGGATGATGGATATCATGAAGGCTTTAGATAAACATTCTGACTCGATTATTATTTTTTGTGTAGAAGAAGTGAAAACAAAGACTTTGTCATACATGCTGTCTGTTTTTTGTTGTCCAGGGCGAAGGAGATCAAGACAAAATTGGGTGTCTTGCTCCAGAAGCCAGAAAATGCCATTGACCTCATTATCCCCTACCCCGAGAAGACCGAGAAGAAACCAGAGAAGCAGCAGAAGTGAGTCTCTTTCATTGCCTCGCTCTCAGAGACTTGAATGCCTTTGAAGGTTGAGTGTTAACCAGACAACTGACGGTAAAGAGGTCGTGCAGAGCCCACAGCAGGTACAAGAAGTGGAGATCAAAGGACAATAAACCTCTCCAGACACTGACTGGGCTCGGATGTCAGTGTGAGATGGTACAAAGCTTTAGATACTCCCCATTTTATTTGGCATCACCTTGAAAAAGACTGACTTAGAGATGAATTATTTATGAGATGCTGAACTACTTTGAATTCTTGTCATAACATACATTTAAATTTTGAGGTGGTTCAGTGAAAAAAGCTGATCATTTTGATAAAAGCAGGATTTTTTTTAAACCTAAAACTAATCCACAAAAGTCAGTAAGGCATCATCTGTAGCTTCATTTTTTTTATTTGTATTCTGGCAATGGGTTAATTCCCTCTGCAGTCTTTGTAATACTGCTTTTTATTTTTCTCCCACCACTGCAGTTCAGATTGATTATTTGCAATTGTCCCTACATCTCATTTTCTCTTTTAATGATGACACTGTAAAAGCATTTGCTGTCATCTGTGTACATGGTTTTTATCTCTTTGTTGGACTCAGTTCAAAATTACATTTTATCCCCACACGGTTAAGCTGGAATGCAGTCTTGGTCATTAAGCATTTGCTTGAAAAAGAAAATGAATGAAAAAGCCCGTACAATAAGGGATGGATGACAGTTCTGCTTTTTTAATCAGACACCTGCTGGGTGAACACATTACTTACCAGCCTGTCGTTGGTTGGCTAATTTGCAACCCCGGAAAAACATCTTTGCTGCTTTGGAAACTTTGTCCCAAAGAGAGAGAGAGAGAGAGAGAGAGAGAGAAGCTTCAGAATCACAACTTCTCCTTAAAACTGTTCTTCAGCACAGAGTCTAAATGCACACTTTGGTCTGGTTCATACACCAGACACCATCTGTTCTCAGTGGATGTTTTCCAGGCTTAAATCTTGCAGCAGAAACTGAGATCAAAGGATTCTGTCTGGTTTGGGAGACTGGAAACACACGTCTAATGTGTATTTATAGCTTGTTGTTTTCACTCAGTAGAGTTTAAGTATAGTAAATAATGTTTGCAATCAATTAAAAAGTGTTGAATATTATATGTATGTTATATTTGTTATCTGTTGGGGATGCAGACTGAACTGAGGTATTTTGTGTGCAGGCCCACTCCTGAGGAGGCTGCTCAGTGGCGTGAAAGTCTGGACCGAGTCCTGAACAACAGCTGTAAGTCTATCCTCTCTTATTCTCTCTTTTCCTCACTCTCTCTTTCACACACACACACACACACACACACACACACACACACACACACATATTTGTGTCACCCACCCCAGCAGGCTACCAACATTGTTAGACACTGAGATTTAGTTGAGTTTTGGTTGTGATGTCAGGTAACCAAAATTCAGTGTCAGGACGTACAATGCTAATTTGACAAAGAATACTGATGACAGAAGATGTTCATTTTTTTTCTTGTTTCAAGTTTTGTTACGTAACCAAAATCCAACATCTTCCAAACACCTCATGCCAACGTCACCTCGATGTGGATTAACACCATTCAGTTGTGAAATATGGAGAACAAAGCCTAACATCTGCAAAACATTCTAACGTTAACATCCACATAACATGAAATTCCGATGTCCTTAGACATTTAAAATACCAGCTACCCAATTTTCATTCCAACCAAAATTCAACATCTGTCAAAAGTAGGTGTTAGGCCCAACATTTAGTGATATACCTTGCAGGGTAACAACCTTTTGTTCCAATATGGGATCTGTGATTTTTGTCCCCACAACACGATCGATACAGGTACAGGCTATTTGCTGGATTTTAATTGTATCTCACAGATGAGATGTGATGAACTGCCACCCAGGAGTTGTAAGGTTCCACACTGGATGTATTTTGTCCATCATTTGATGTGACTGATGAAAATCTAACACCTTGTTTTTGTAAAACAATATTAAATATCTTTCTTTACGTTTTAATTAAACCTAGTGATTATTTCCCAAGTGATTTTACCTAAGTGATTTCCTCAGAGAAATCACAGCTCTAATGTTGCTTGTTCTCATGTAGCTTGGTACCGAGCTTGTATCTTGCAGATCTTTCTCTTCTTCCAATAATGATGCCGCTTATTTACACCAGTTTTTTCCACACAGCTGATTGCTGCTCAGCAAAAAAAACCCTCCTTGTTAAAAACCCAAAAATAGAACATTTTTCACATTAGGGTGGCCTATTACTCGCTGTTCTGCACAGTCTCTGCCGTTTTGTTGACATCCTCACAACCAGACACTGAGTGCATCATTTTGTCATCCTGTCCAAAGCTGCAGTCTTCATTATGTAACAACTGGCACTTTGGTTTAACTTCAACCATTCCCAAAGGCGAAAACATGCCTCCTCTGAGGTCTGGTGTCTGTCTAGACTGTTTAAACAGGTAGAGCACACCCAGCAGGGCTTGGTTTCCATAACAGCAATATATGTTATATTTTTTGTATTGTGTGTTAGATATGCGGGTGACCATTTGTTTGTTTAATTGAATGATGAAGATAATGATGATGTGGTTTTTATTATTGTCTCATGGATGTTAATTTACTCTGCAGCCTGCACTCCGCATGGGTTTACGAGACAACACAAACAGTACAAACTGAAAAGTCCAAAATTAACAATACTGATTAACAGTACTTACATAATCATATTTTCAAAGCTTAAAATCGCCATCAAAATCCATGAAGTACAAATTAATTATAAGCAACTCATATAAAACGTACACCTAAAGAAGGTATTTCATAGAGTGCATTTGCAGCTTAGATCAACTTTAATCAACACCTACTTTGGAGTTGGACAGTTGCAACATACATAAAAAAGTAATCCAGGACCACCTTTCTCCTAAAATTTTACATAATCATAAAATGCTGGAGATATGGTTACATTTAAAAAGCTTGAACTGTCGGTGTAAACTGAACAACATGTAAGAGAAACACTTTAACAACCAGCATAAATACCAGAGAGCAGCTACCGGCTCCAATGTTTACTTCACAAGGAGCACAGAAAGACTGATGATTAACTCTCATGGTTAATGGTATTCAGTGGTACGTGTAAACTCTCCTGCTAAGTGACTCAAGTTGCCTCTGTGCATCAAAATGAATCCACGTACAGATGTAACTGACCGGCTGCTACATGTGGAAGGAGAAACCTTTCCTCTGTAGAGCTCAGTGGGCGGTAAAAGAGCTTTCTAAGTGGCTCCTTCAGCACAGTCGAGGGCAGAAAGATGTATGTCCCCCCTGTGTTTGCATGCCTGTCTGAATGTGTTTGCATCTGCGTGTGTATCTGTCCATGGAGGTTATTGTGTGTGTTATGGTAACATCTCCTGGGAGAAGTCTAAATGATTTCACCAGAGTTGATTTATTGCACGGTTACTGCAAACTGCTGCGCCGTGATTATTTATCTGCATGAGATTTTACATTAGCTTCTCTCTTGTTAATTCCCATGGGTTTCTCTGAGTTATTTCCTCTCAGATGTAGAACAAACCCCCCTCCTTCACCTTAAAGTGAAAAATTGCATAATGCAACGTATATTACGCAATAGGAAATACATAATGTATGGCTGCGCTCTGATTAAAATAACAACATTGCACTTGTAGAAAAATTAATCTAATTGTCAAGTTGTCTGTGCAGTTTTTAATTACAAGAATATTTCAGTGTTTCATTATTTGAAATATCACCCAGCTTGCTCAAGCTACAAGGGTCAGTGCAGTTAAATAAAACTGAAACTAAGTTAATGTGGCAGAATTCTGCTGGCATGGCAGTAATATCTTATTAAATCATTAATGCATGACAAACAATAAACCCGAGGCTTCATTTCCTGCTGGTTTTTACAACTCTGATACACAACAGCTTGTCATCAGTGCCTGGGCGTGTTTGCTTCTCCTTTTGTATATCCATGTACTGGAGGTCTTTCAAAGAAAAAAAAAGGGCTGCAGCTTGATTGCGACTGTGTTCTATTTTGAACCAAACTAGCCATTTAGATTGCAGATAAAAGCCTGAGGCCGAAGCAGAGAGCTTATCATCTGCAGCACATGCTCGTTCAAACAATGGGACCTTTTGCAGGCATTGTGTTGAACTACAATGGTCTTCACTTAAATGACTGGTTGTTTTATCAAGTCTTATTTTGGATCTTTATCTTTGAATACCACTGTACTTTTACATTTGTCCAAAACATCCAAGTTTTGTTTGTATTTTGGTATTTTGCAAACTTTTTTAGATTAAAAAAAGTTAGTTGGTTATTTTTGTTAAAAGAAAATAATTTTTACAAAGCCAAAATATTATATAATAACTACTTGTTAAGTTTTAAAGTTTCTATAAAGTTTCTGCATGTTTTCACTTCCTGTATGTTGCATAACACATCCAGTTCTTCCTGATCAGTGCTTTGAAAGAAAGTTTTTCAAATACTGAAAACTCTCCAACTTAAAAACAAATTTAAGATTCATTAAAAAAAAAGAGAGAAAAAAATGAAAATAGAGAAATTAATATAAAGTAGGGGTCACATCAGCTTCAGTACAGCAATCAGTGACTTAAAGTGAATGTGGGCCAGGATGGTAAAGTGGGTGGGCCAATGGTCCCTTCCCTACTTCCTGCCCCCGTACTTCCCGTCCCCATGTTTGGACCACACCCATCTCCAAACTCGGCCTTCATTGTTATTTCAACTTCAAGCCTGTAAAATTTTACGACTACATCTTACACGGTTGTCACGCTACTGTGGTGACAAAATCTGTCCACAGAAAGACAGACAAATGAACACCTGGTAAAGTACTAAAAACCACTTCTGTGGTAGTTCCCGCTAGAATAGGTGACTCTGGGACCACATTTAGCTGTGATGATACACACACACACACACACACACACACACACACACACACAGACTCATGAGGTGAAAACTAGTCACAACATCGCAGCTGGTAAAAATGTCAGATGGACAATGCACATTCCTTTACATCACACTTTCCTCAATAAAAATACCAAACCTCTGTGATATATGCCACAACTTTATAGCGTCAGTTGTGTTTCCCTTTCATTTTCCACTACTTCACTTGTGCAAATGATGTAATAAAAAGCCTTTATAGGATCTGTGGCATTGCTGGTTTAATCTATATGTTAACTTAATTGCTTTTTGGGTTTAGGTGTCCGCTATGTAAATGTTCTGTAATGGCTTTGTTTAAACATGAAAGCATGATTATGGAGGAGCCACGGTGCTCATGTTATTACAGGTGTGACTGAAGAAGAGTGATCTCAGTTCAAGAGCTGCATCACTGATAGGTTTGAAAAGGTATTTTGTAATTTTCACAGATTCAGTCACAGACACTTTCAGTCTTTTCATGAGATACACAGAAGCCTTTAACAGCCATAGATTCAAACATTTGATTTTCTCCTTTCTCCCTAATAACTATCTAGCACATCTTCTGACTAGCAGATTATAAAATAAGGTTTCTCATCAAATCCATATCTTATTAGATAGAAAATAGACTGCTGCTGCCCATATAATACAGGCTAACAGTGTCCCAGCAGAAATTAAAAAAAGAAAAAAGACAAAGCATCATGATGTGATTTACTTTTAATTCCTTCTTGCCTCTGAGATGAATGTAAAGCATTTTTCTAAATAATAGTAGCAGTTGGTGTTGATTCATGATTTAAGGAGGGAGGCAGATGGTGTTAAGATTATTGTGGTTTTCTGAGTCATCAAAACATGGATGAAAAGTCTTTTTGTGGATTTATATGACAATGCAACAATTTAAGAATTGATCCATCCACAAAGATTTGGGATAAAATTTGTATGTAATGTTGTACTATATCATTCAACTTAGCCATGTTTGAAGTGCTACAGAAATAATTATGCTTTAGTTAATATGTCATTGTGACCTTATTGGTAAAGTGTCTCAAAGGCTTACTCAGAATTGCCAGCGCATTCCCTTTAAAATGCATGCATGAAGAAGGGGTTTACATAATCACTTGTTCTATATTCTGTTATATAACCTGCCAATACATCTCTCATTTTGTAACACCTCTACCCTCCTCTCTCCATCAGATGGTCTGGCTGCTTTCCGCAGCTTTCTGCAGTCTGAGTTCAGTGATGAGAATATTGAGTTCTGGATGAGCTGTGAGGACTTCAAGAAGACCAAGAACCCCGTGAAGATGGCCACCAAAGCCAAGAAGATCTATGAGGACTTCATCCAGTCTGAGGGACCAAGAGAGGTCAGAAACTCCTGTGACTTCCCCCTTTTTATGAGCTCAACACCACATGGAATAGAAGGAGATTATCCTCAACACATGTGCACAACCAACACATACAGTAGTTGTTAACAATCTTATTCTTCAAAGATGATATAGTACAAAGACACATTCAGACCACTCATGTAGAGGTCCACATGCTAACAGCTAAATATACATTCCCTGGAGGAGGCTCTCAGTATGTTGACAATGCAATGAAGAAGGGATTCTCTCAGCAGGGTGCTGAGTAAAATTTCTTTTTTCTCATAACATATCACTGCTTAACAGCTAACAGTGTATTTAAAATAAAAGAAAATTGAAATGACGGTGTGTGTAAAACAGCTTGCATCAAGTGAGAGTCTTTATCTGATCATGACAATGTGTGACGCAGAAGTCCAGGCTTGCTGGAGTGTAAACATATGAGGTTACAGACAGAGAATGTGCTAAGATTGAATTGCGACTGAGGATGAACAGCACATGCACGAGCACACACTCCAGTAATAAACACACACATCTGGAACATTAACTGTATTTATCTCGGGCTAGAGACTTGACTCCTTTATATTTTAGAGGGAAATATTGTTAAATTCAAGGAGTACTATACAACATTCAGAACATTAACATAGCAGCAAACCACTATTTGCTATGTAGAGATATAGTGGGGTGATAAGGTCCTGAGCAGAGACTGAAGTCATACTACCTCAACAGGTTCTCATCCCAACTCGTCAAATACTGCTGCTTTGTCAGCATATTTGACTACTGTGTCAGTTTTGGACCCTCAGGGACAGCAGTTTACACTTGTGACATGCATTGTGTGTTGTCAAAATGTATTTCCGTTTCACAAGAAATGTACAGTTTCTGCTTGTTAAATGGCTACTTTTTTATTTTCCAAAATAAACGAACAACTTTGGAAAAACACTTTGATTAGGTTTACTTCCTTAAATTTAAGCTACAAAAGTCCATGAGGTTTAGGTTTACCTGTCCACCTCCCTTCCCACCCGACCCATGCAGACTTTCATGCTCTCTACAATTTTTGCCCGTTGCATTGTCAACAGCAGCCATCGTCTGGTGTGTATCATAGCGCTGCAAAGGGTGCCTCAGTATGTCAGTGTCTGACGCCGAGATCCACTGACAAAGCGACGTTATTTAATCAGTCGCGAGTAAGAACAGGCCGACCTACCAATACCTGCGTGATGTAAGCCAAGCTTCTCTGTCGGTTGCTGCGCTAGCCAGTCTGGCTGCCTGTGATGGTATTAGGATGGCAGCAGGTTAACATTCTTATCTCTTTCAGGGCTGTTACCATTGTTAGCACTCTTCATGATGTTCTTGGCACTATTATCTGTTAGCACCATTAGCTACTAGCAGCCAGCTCAACAACCTCCACATTGAAAGCCATGTGCAGACAACCTCTGAATCATGGATATGCTCTGAATGTTGTATAGAGCTTCTTTAAAGGAAGTTTTTAGCATGTTCAGAAAAGGCATACATTTGCTTTAGTGCTGAGTGTTACAATCAGTCTCTGACTGTTTTATGTTGTAAAGCAGTTGTTGTAAACATCACGTCCCCGGAAGGTCTTTTCCTTGGAATCATCTTACGGCAGTCGGGACTTGATTTGGTTTATGTTTGCATTTCATTTGGAATAAACACAACAAGTGGCTAGTTGAGATAAAAAGCACCCAGGGTCTTGCCTACACTGGCATCTTTCTCTTCACCTCCCTGAGTCATCTCTTGCAGACTTACTGTGACCTTTTTTTCATATTTACCATCAACACTTGCTGTTTTTCTTCATCTTCCTCATCTGCACTTTATTTCAACAGCATGTACTTTTGTCCTCTCACCACAGGTAAACATTGACCACTTCACCAAGGATGTGACCCTGAGGAACCTCGTGGATCTGTCCCCCACCACCTTTGACCTGGCCCAGAAGAGGATCTACGCCCTGATGGAGAAAGACTCCTTCGCGCGTTTCCTCCGGTCTGTGCAGTACCAGGAGCTCCTGGTCAACTAAGCAAGATGAAGGGTCTGAGGAGCTGGGTGGGGGGGTGGGGAAGTTTCAAACAGCAGTAAGTTATCATGACAACAAAAGGAAACAGCTTATCATTTTTTTAATTAAATATTTCTAATAAACTACCATTGTGTAAGACAGCTTGAGAACCGAAGACCTTTATTTTTCAAAATATCCACAACATGAAGGGCAAAATGAAATTATATTTCCGAATGCTGATACTTCTAATGTAACTAAAGGAAAAGACTGCCTTTTGAAATAACCCTACCTCCCCGCCCAACACACACATACATGTTCTTGTACTTCTGTACTAGTGAGGACCTTCCATTGACAACTATCATTCTCAATCCTCTTAAAGAAGTGAGGGTCTCCCAGAATTGCCTCACTTATCAAAAATGGCCTAAAAAATCTGATTGGTTCTCACACAAAGGAAGAAGTACAGGAACAAAGATAGAGAGAGAGTCAAGATCCAACAAAACAGGACAGATACCAATGTGTTTCTGTGAAGAACAACTCAATCTTTTAAAGCTTGGCCACAAAGTTTGTTCTTCAAAATTTGGATGCAAATACAAAGTATGAGATTATTCCTTGAAAACTTAATCAGACTTTCACATGTGCATCAAGGCACAAGTGTTGCTTTCCCACACCTGTCAAGTCAGTACTCCAAGGACAACTTTTTAGACTAAAAGCCTTAATGCAGGGCCGTTCCTGGTCTGGTGCCTTAGGCCAGAAATCCACTGACAATTATATTCATGATTAACTTAAATCAACTTCTGGTTTATATCATGTCATTAACACCTTGGGTGGCTGCCTGGTTTGCCTATGCCTAAAAACGACCATGCCTTAATGTGAAATTAATAAGATGTTGGATTTTTCAATAGAAAGCAAACTTTATCTAGGGGTCACATTGGAAACTAAACCAAAGCTAACCAATAAAATATTCCTAAATGAAAACCAGTTTGCATTTTCGTAAAAACAAAAATACCCATTTACCTTAAATGTACAAATATGTTCCCAGTTTGACCCCCCTTCCCTTGCCCCAGACTTGCTAGTCTAATTTAGAAGGAGGTCAGAGGGACTTTTAAGTACTTTGTGGTTTTCCCAGGAAGACTTAAAGATATTATTACACCAGTCTGAGTGCCTGGAAAAAGATATGACTCACAACATTTTCTTTCTATAGGAAAAAATGATTGGGAAACTCTTAAAAGAAATAACAGTTACACAGTTGGCTGCTCTAAATCAATCAATAATTGAATAATTTCCAGCAACGACCAAATATTTTGTCAATTAATTAAAAGAACCTGTAACATAGTTGACCATCTTCTGCTATCAATGCATTAGTAATGATTATCACACAGCTCTCTTTTTGTCTCTTCCACTTTCTCACACTCACACAGACAGTAATTTTGGATTTTCACCAAACTCCCCTTTTGGTTGCGATGCATCCTGGGAGAGCCATTCTTGAGAACAGTGCTGGCTAGTTGGCTCAGTGGTCAAGCTCCTTGGCTACCACTAAACTGCATGTTGCTAAGATGGGAAAATCAAGTGGGAGGGAATCTTAAAAAAAAGAAGTGAACAGAGCAGTGGTTTTAACAGAGAAAGGTCTTTTTTCCCGTGTGATAATACCAAAGTTGTATGTATGCATGCCGAGTCACTAAAAAGGTCCAGACCTGGTTTTAGTGGTTATAGTGAAAAACACGGGAGATAGGACTTGCAGGTTTGCAGCACTAAACAATGCCAATACTGGTTATTGAGAATCATTTTATTGTGGTCTTTGAATTATAAGCCAAAGTTTAAAGTCATAAAGGAAATTTAAGAAAGCAGAGGCATTGCAATCAGACAAGCACACACAAAGTAGTCACATGTACTTTTCACTTTAAATGCACGTGTTATTTTCCAGATAAACAGTTTCAACCATGAGTTATTATTCACCACATGCTGTAACAAACACTGGTATTCACATAACTTACACTAAGCTGAGACAGAGATGGAGGTGATGGTGGATTTGGTGTTGGTGTGTAATGTTAAAGTGTCCTAAATGTATACCTTTAGTTGAATGTAGTAATCATAAAGTGTGATTATATACTATATACCCTTTGATGCTTTTTATATTAAACAAAAGCATATGTCTTAATCAACACATGAATATTGTTATCTAGATATTCAGCATTTTATAAGTCCTTATTGTTACCCTACAATCCAACTGTTACACACTAAAACAAAATGAAAAACTATATTCAGAAAAGAGATATTTTCTCACATTTCAACTTAACTGAATTGTTGAATGTACTTCTTAAAAGGGGCATTGAAATAACCAACAAATATTAAAAAAAGAGAGAGAGAGAGATTTATTTCCATTTAAAACAGCATTGTCAAGGGTCTATTGTGGCACAGATTAGCCAGTCTGGTGTCATAACCTTAAATGTAAAACAAGTCAATGATCAGAAAAATCAATAAGGGCTTTAACAGTGCTGAGTATGCATTATTTGATGTAGCCTTGCATGTACGATGAGTCAATCACATAAAAATATATATGCATACAATTCCTGAAGATGTATTTATTTTTACGTGTAAATATCAACGATTTACAACCAACTGTGTCTAAGTTATTCTTAAATACAACAATGGAATCCATGATTTTTTGAACAGAGAGCTGGCGAGGACTCTTCCCAGAATCTTTTCACTGTTATAAAAGAAAAGAAGAAACACCTGACTTTCAATTGTCACTTTGTTTTTTTTCATCAGCGACCTATTTTCAACATGTGGGTACATAGGAAGCACCTCATGATTGACTCTTTAAGACTGTAATGAAAAACTAAGACATACTGAGAAAATGCATACCAATGTAGACACTACAAAATCTAATCAGTTAATAGTGAAAAATGTTAAAGGGGCCCCGTGGAGTTTTCTTGTAAACAGATGTTTTGTTTACATTCAGTGGAACTCACCAAAACACATCATGTGTATCCGTGACTAACAAACAAGCTCAGTGCATTTCCTACCTCATAGAACATTTGTGTTTTAAGTATTTCAAATCCTGCATTATTTACACCCTTGTTTACTCACTAGCAGTCTCCTTCTTCCTTGCTTTGGCTGGTGCATTGCAGCATATCTTTGTATGATATCACCACCTGTTAATCAGTATAACAGCTTGACACCATTGGTGGGACTGTGTATTGCATTGCATACATACTTCTGAACATGTACAAGATACTTAGTACAGGGATCTACCCATAGAAAATAGCTTCATAGAACTGCTAGAAGTCTAAAACTCTCCAGGTAACCTTTAAATTTTTATTTTTTAAGTTATCCAGTTCATGGTTAAATACATACAAAACTACTGGCATACCCATCAGCCACAAACACATTCAGTTGTAGAAAAAGATCATGGTTTAGGTTAAAACAATGTTGACTTTTGGTTTCACATGGGACACAAACAGCTGTCTCCTGGGCAAAAGTCCTGTGTTTTTGTTGCAGCCTCAACTGCACCTTGCTTTGTGCTAATTAGTAGGAGTGTAATGATAAACAGCTCACACACCACAGGGGTCCAATGCTGAAATTTAATGAAGTGACATTTCGAGCGTGATGCTCTTCATTAGACTACCAAGACAGAGGGTGCTGTGATACAATGATGTGTTCAAGGAAAGGAGAAAGAAAAGAGGTAACATAACAACTTAAAGAGAAAATGTACCTTGTTTCATAATATCATAGGGCACCACAATGTACATGTACTTAATATGGAAAATAAAGAAAGGACAAAAGTTCGTAGGTGTGCGCATGCACACACACGCCTCACAATCAATGTAAATATGCGTAAGCGTCTACACACAAATAAACGGACCCACAGACACCATGACAGTGTCCGTGAACATATCCTATAAATAAATAGAGATATGTACAAAATTGCATAAAGACCATCAGTCTAAAGAGATATATATATTTACATATATACATATATATATATACATATATATATATATATATGTACATATATATATATACATACATATATATAAATATATATATATCTCTTTAGACTGATGGTCTTTATGCAATTTTGTACATATTGTACATATTGTTCCGACCATATTAAACTCATTGTTGCTAAGTCCATTCCGAAATCATCAAGATGCCCTGTAGTTAAGGTCTGGTTAGGTTTAGGCACAAAAACCACTTGGTTAGGGGTCAGGAAAAGATCATGGTGTGGGTTAAAATGAAAAAGAAAGTGACAAACACATAAGCCGTGAGCCTGTTCCGCCTCAAGCCGGTCGCGGCGCACCATACGCCCGCCGCGAGCCGTTCAGCACCGCAGACAGTCGGACTAATGGGATGTTGAACCAATGGGCTGTCGAACCAATGACATGGACCCCCAACACCGCATCAGGCCAATAAGCCGTCATAAAGGACAGAACAATTCGCTCTCACTAACATGTTCTTGAGATTAGGAGGTCTTTTGAAGACAATGCGGGGTGGGTTGTTCATGAGCCCTCTCAGAGCTGGGTCAGTGCTACCACATGCCAATGTTTGTTGATGATAGAAAACATATCTTTTGCCAGAGGGGAATATTGAAAGGAACAAGTGATACGTTTATCAACATTTTTTTGTTCTGGTTGTGTACAGGCACTCAGTTTGTGTGAGGTTAGAAAAACAAGCAGAGGCTTCGATACCCTCTTTGTAAAAACCTGTGTTCAAGTTCCATCTTTTGTTTGTCAAAGTCAGTATCTGAGCTGCATATACGGCGTATGCAGTTCAGTTGGGCCACAGGAAGGCTCCTTTTCAGATGGGTGGGGTGATACGACTATCCATGTAACAGTGAATTTCTATCAGTAGGTTTTCTGTACAGAGTAGTGCTGAGGCCGTCACTATTAACAATCAATATGTCCAAAAAGTTCATTTTAAAAGGGTCATGAGCCACTGTGAACCTCAAATGTGTATTCTGTGTATTAATGAAGTTGTAAAAGTCTTTCAGTTTGTCTTCTGTAGAAGTCCAGATGAAGAAGATGTCATCAATATACCTCTTGTATGTAGTGATGTATGGCAGGGACAGATTCTTGGAGGGATTCAACACCACCTCCTGTTCGAACAGTCCGACATACAAGGATGCAAAACTCGGGGACATCTTAGACCCCATACTGACTCCAGACACCTGTAAAAAGAAATCCTTGTGAAACATAAAATAGTTTGTGGTCAGCACAGTCTCTAACAGCTTTAATATGCATGAGGCACTAGGTGTGAGCTGTTGAGTCGAGTTCATCTCTCGGTGAAGAATAAAATGTTCAGCTGCCCTCAGTCCGCCTTGTCCGCCTTTTCGGCTCAGCACGTGCCCAGTTTTGGTCCGGATGTGCATGTGAACTCTCTTTTAGGAGTGTAATGATACAATGATCTTGATCATATATCAATTCAATTATCAAGGATTCAATATTGATTAATGTGTCAATACACATTGTCATCTTTAAGATATCTATTGTGAAATTACCATGGCAGGTCTGTTTCACAATCTGTGTCCAAGCACACTTTTTTCTTTAACATTCAGACAGCGAGAGCGGCCAAGCACCAGGCAGATAATGTTAGGCAGCAAAGAAAAAGACTGTGGATATTTACTGATAGTGCTCCTATCAGTCGTGGCTCCCTGAATTGAATCAAAATTGTGACAGATCAGTTCAGCTAATATCATTTTGATGAAACTTACGATTCACACCCTTACTAATCTCATGATTCTGCAATCTACATTGTAGAATCTGTCAGCAGCCCTGTGTGAAAGACGACTGGGGGGGGGGGCAGGGCTCTGAACGGTGCTGCGCTTTAGCCAATCACAATGGAGGGGACGCGGCCGAGACATGCAGGTGTCCCCAGGAAATGTGTACCTACAGAAACAGTAAGCTCCGCGTCCATAGCGACCGCTCCACCCAAAACGGCATTTCGTCAACGTGAAAAAAACATTTTTTTTCCAGCGGATGTCTGAGTTACAACATGATTGAGCAAACTGGAGTACTTTCATGTCGTATCCGACAACGGGAGGCTTTAAACAGATGACGACCTGATGTTAGCTTTGCTAACTGTCCCTGTCAGCAGCAGCCACTGATGCTTTCTAGACATCATGATTTCCTATAACTGAATAAATACCACACATAGCAACACAAAACTGCTTTGCTAGCTCAATCATGTTGTAACTAAGATATCCGCTAGAAAAAATCTTTTATTCACGAACAGTTTATTGAGTTATTACCTTATTTTTATACAGTCTATGGTTATTACAGACACCGTTAACGGCTAAAGTTAACAGCTAACGGTTAGCTCAGCTAATCTACGATAACCATGTTAATTACCAAACGTGCACACGGAAATAGTAACGTTTGTTCAATCATTGTGTTTATAGACTTAACAAACATCAGATTAGTCTACACTGTGATATAGTGACGTGAATAATGTGGTATATAGCTAAACTCTGCTGGTTTTCTACCCGAAGTATTTGTAAACAACACAGCGATTCCCTGGGGGGACCACCGGAAGTGAAGGGCATGAGGCCCCTGCACTTCCGTTAGTCGAAAAACTCCGGGCTGTGCCTCCAGAGGTAAAGGAAGAAAAATTTTTTTAATTTTTTTTTACCGATGGATTTCCAGATTGCACCCTTACTAATTAGCAAGTGTTATCGTGCTACTATACTAAACTAAGATGGTGAACATGGGAACATTTTACTTGCTAACGGTCAGCTAATTTGCACTGTCATTAACATCTCACAAAATTTCAATTCATTCTTTTTAAATACCTCTGCCTCTGGTAACTATTAAACAAAAATAAAAGAAAAAATCTCTGAAAATCTCTGAGGAAAACAGTTTTAAGAAAACAGATTATTTGGAAAATCTGTTCCCACTATTTGTAATTCCTCCTCCGGATGAAGTAATGCCTTCAAAGAACAAAGCAGCCTTTAAGAGTATGCCATTAAATAATTTTAGAGATGGTTGAAAAACAGAGTGGAAAACAGAATGGAAACAGATGCAACCAAAGAAGTGGCTGCCAACACAAACAATGTCTGAGGCTTGCACGGATGCATCCGTTACTACCACAGTTCCTAGAAACAGATGGAAGAGGTCAGGTGCCTTTGGTCCCAAAAGGAGGTCTGTGACGTTCTGTTTGGTTCACTGCTTTTACATGTGCAGTATACTGTCACACAAGGACATTGGTTTTGTTTCAACACTCGAGGGGAAATGGGGGTCAAAGGTGTAAATATTTCCCCAAACAGAGTCTGTTTATAAGCTAACAAGTATCTCTTACTGATTTCGAAACCAAGTACTACAATAATTGAGATTCAAGCAAATTAAAACCCCAAGAGATACCACTGCTCAGAGTTTATGACTCTAATTACAACCTAAGATACCCTTTTGTTTGTTTTTTTAAATTTCAGATTCGGATATGTGACCTGATTTTTTCTTCTAAATGTGTGGAAAGATGAAGAAAATGTTCACACTGACAGGATTGCCTGATAAAGGTTTTGTAAGAATGTTTTGATTGCTTCTTTGCCAGAAGTAATGATTAACCCACTAAGCACAAGCAGACCTGCCGACATTTTTAAATCTGTGGCAAAATTAATGATCAGACTTGAGGTAAGAGAGCACATGTTACATCTGACTGTACATTTAATATAGTCATCTGTTTTGGGGATTCAGTTTCAACCTATAGCAGAGACATCTGTGTAGAAAGCTTTACAGACATGTT